GCCTCCCCGCCCCACCCACTGCCCCGCCTACCTCTGTGCTGCCTGCAGAATCCGTCCCACCTGCCCCTCCTCCCTGCCCCATTACCGCTGCCAGCGTGCCTGCAGTCTCAGGACTTCTCATAGTCCATATTCAGACTGGCTTGTCTGCAGAGGCTCCCGTCCTGCCCGAAATATCCTCTCCCTCTTCTTCAGCCAGTGTAGAAGTCTCCTCTCTGGTATTTCTGTCAGTTTTCTCCTCTGTGCTCTGGTTGAATTGGATTTGTTTTTAGCACAACCACCTTGACTCCATCCTGCAGACTAAGTGCCTTTTTACTTTTGTATTCCCAGTGCTTAACGCATGTCTTCCATATAGTAGATGCTCAATAAATGCTCACTGGATAAAGTTATGGCTAGTTTAATAGAACAGAATAGCTCAGATCTGGCTTCATTTTTCTGTAAGTTCAATGTCCTCACATCCTCTGGCAATGAATGACTCAGAGGTTTGAACTGGACCTTTAAAGCTCATTCTTAAGGAAAGCAATGAAGTTGGAGGGAAAAAATCCAGATCTGAGGAATCACTTGAGTCTGTCATGTCTGTTATATAAAGCACTTTGGATTTCTGTCCCCTATTTCAGACAGTGTCCCTGAATACATGTAGACAGTTCACCCGGCCAAGCCTTCTGCTAGGACACACAGTGTCCCCAGAATCAGCACCGGCTGATATTCATCTAATTCCACAGCCTCTTGAATCTCAACAAGCTAAATTTCTCGGTACAATATATTTCCAAAGTAGCTTTGTAACAGTCGACTAAAAGTTAAGCTATTCTAACTAAAAATATAGAAAGTAAAAGCATGTCATATTTCTTCTGGGTGAGCCATTCCCTAACTTTGAGAAAAGAAAACATTTTAAAACTGTTTCCCTGTACATAATACACAACACCTTCTTCTCTCACACACTCTTTACTGCTATGGTTTTAAAATAGCAACTACAGCTGCCAGTGGAGACTCTTTGGGGACTTTAAGGTCACTAATCAATTTCACAGCTGGAGGCAAAGCACTTTGCTGGGAAATATTTTTTGCATGACATACAAGGTGCTGTGACCTTGTCAGGGCAGCCAGAAGGTTCAGCTTAAAGTAGGGAAATTTTTTCAAGGCGAGGGGACCCCAGGCAGGCTGAACACCTTTGCCAGTGAGTTACCTGTCCCCTGCCTGCTTCCATGCTTCTCCAGCTGAGCCGGGGAGCCGGGAGACCCCAACTCCTCCCGGACTCTCTTGAAACGCACTCCCAAGTTCTGATTCCGTGGGTATGGATAAGGCCTGAGACTCTGCATTTCTAACACATTCCCAGCCCCTCCTGATGCTTCTGGTCTGGAAACCACCTTGAGAACTGCTCCTCTATCCAATTACTTTTACTTCTTTTCGCTGGAATATTTACATCCAAGAGGATTTATTTCCTTTGCATCTCTCTGAAACATACTGCTTCCTTCCCACCGCCTTCCCTTCAAATATCAGTTTAGTCTAATGGGAGGATGGTGCTAGACTAAAAAGCATATGGTCAAATAATTGCTCTTGCCTAATTTTAGAGTAAATGTGTCAGGAGAGTAACAGAAAGGACCGAATTATAAAACCATAATTTTAACAGATCTCCTTTCTTTAAGCTGTTAGACGTATTTCACTGATGTATAAGTTTCATGAACTCTTACTGAGCGTCTGTGCCAGTATGTGGTGGGATTATAGCGCTGCCTGCTAACCAGACTTTCTTTTCCCAGAGAATCAAGTTAGTTTTAATGCACAGGTATCAGTTTTCAAATGGAAGCGGCTTTCTTCATTTCCTCCCCAGAATAAATCATCTATCAGGCCACAGGGTGACTTCTTGTAAAGTGAACCTGTCTGTCCTGGCTGGAGACATGTAGTGGAGAGAGGATATAACTTGGTGGCTAAGAACACAGTTCTGGGGTCAGATAGACCTGACTTGGGTCTGAAAAAGCTTCCAGACTGTCATGAGCCTCAGGGGTATGTGCACGTGGGCACGTATGTGCGTGCGTGTGTGTGCGTGTGCGTGTGTGTGTGTGTGTGTGTGTGTGTTTTAAATTATAAATTATAGATAATAATTCTTACTTCATAGAAATACACGAAATCCATGCTTTGGCTGAATTCTAAGTGTGACATCATGTGATCGAGTCATGGAGGCCAAAGGCAAAGATCACCATCATAACATAGCTTTCTGGAATAAAAGAATAAGCCTGATAGTGTTCTGAAAAAGTCATTGTTAATTCCATCAGTTATCTACTTCCGTAACCACAAGCTTCAGTGGCATACAGTAACTCTAAAACTTTGGTGGAACAGAATAGGAAACATTTATTGTTCACCATTCTGTTAGCCCGGTGGGCATTTGTGCTGATCTGAGTCAGACCCAGAGGCTCTCAGCTGGGTTCATGTCTGCTCACTCACATGGCTGCAGATATCTGGCTGGTCTAGGATGCCATCAGCCCCGACAGCTGATCTCTGCTCCATGTGATCTCTCATCCTCCAGCGCTTGTTCTCAGAGCATGACAGCATTCAAAGAGTGAGAGCAGAAGCCTGCAAGTATGCAAGGGCTCTGGAGATCAAGCACAGCAGTTATTCTGGCAGCATTCTGATGGCGACAGTAAATCACAAAGCTGCCCAGATTCCTTATGAGAAAATAGACCCCACCTCTCAAAAGGAGGGGCTCCTAAGTCACATTGCTAAGACAATAGAAGGGTAGAGAATTTGAGTCATTTGTTTCAGTCAACCTACTACATTAAGATGCTTTTACTATTTTTCAGTCAAACAAAATACATTTGACATTATGGGGAAGGAACAATAATTTCTTCACTGTCAGCTGCTAGATTTCTCCTCTGGTAGCTACCTGCATATTTATGATGCTGGATAGAACTCACTTTCAACTGTGACTGAGAGAAGAGTGACATATTAGAGTAGCTCATTTTAAAATAAATATATTAGTTTTGTTCCTTCAGTCTTTATCATTTCTGGATCAGTGATGATTTATCATGGATGTTGTTGTAGAACAATTTGGGAGTTTTTCCTTGTGAAATTTTTAGTGGCAAGGTTAACATGCTGATTTTAATGTGTCCATACAAAAATCAAATAATTTCAAAATGGTAATTTTTTTCCTTAAAGGGATCATGGCTTATATAGAATTGAAAAAAAAAAAAAACCCAGAAAATAAATACAGTTCTTAAATGTCATTTTATTTAATCATAAGAATGTTAGTATACCAAAACAAATTTACGAAGTTTCGAATTATGATACAATCTATTAATCCTTATTATTTTTCCACTTATTATTTAAATTTGCGTAAACATCTGTTGACTTAAAAAAGGATATGTCTCCTGAAGCCAACATGCTTTCTTTTATATAATCTTTACAGCTTTTACACTCATCATAGGCTTGGAATAATAAATATAGATCGATACTTCAACTGACGGATAGAATCCCAATTTCCAAACCCATAAAGATTTTTACTCCGAGTTTCACATAGAAATGCTTACCTACAGTTGAAAGAAAGCATTGTGCTTCAGTTTTAACAACAAATCTCCATCTCACACGGTGTTTGTATTTCTGACGTTGTTCAGGTACGGTGGTAACCCATGCAAGTGACGACCACTGATCAGATGCAATTTCAAGGATGCCAGAAGTATCGTTGAAGCTGGCCAAAGGCAAACGGCAGTTTTCAGGTGTGAGTATGCTTCCAAAGGGGGTTCAGATTAAATGAAGTGACGTGTGTAGACAGTCTATGGCACATGGTAGGTCTTCGATCAATGACATATTGATTTTCACTATTTTTAACCTTTGGTCAGGATTTGGGATACTATTGCATTGTGTTTTGACCCCTAGTGATATTTATCAGCAAAGCTTCCTGAGTCAAAACAAACACAGTTATGAATGGGGAATGACTGTGCATAAAGGTCTCTTAGAGATTTAAATTTAAGGTCTAATAAGCTGTATTCCAAGCCTGTTCCCTCAGGTAAGCTAAAGCTCCATGTTTCACTCCGTTGTGACTCTCGGTATCACGGCATTGTGACAATTATTTCACCTGCTCTAAGGGTATGTTGCAAACGTGATCACACCCAGATCGGGTTCCCACAGTGTATGGAGTTTATAGATGGGATCTGTAAAATTATTTATCATGATGTTTCAAAACCAAATGGGTAACTATTGATTTTGGATGTCAAATGTATTCTTATTATAGCCCAGTTCAAGTCTAAATGGATAATTCGTTTCTGCAAATAGGTTGGCTTTCAGGAGCAGATTGAAAATGACTATGGAGAGAGATGTGTGTGTACAGTTCTTGCTACTAAAAAGCTATTAGTTCCCAGATATTTTGCTATTGTGTACTGCAATAATTTATTATTTTGATATTTGTGTTTCAGGTTAAATCTTTAACAGGATGTCTGCACGCGTTAAATAGATGGAAAGAATTAGTTTCTCATTCTTACTTCACTCATTCAACGAGAAACTCCATGGTCTGTGGATGATGCAAAGGTAAATTGGACGTGGTTCTTGCCTTCAAGGAACCTAGGTGTAGGAGTGGTGACTTGGAGAAAGCTTACCTAAGATTTAAAGCAAAAGTGTGATGATCAGCCGAGTGTTCCATGCCTGGCCCTCCAACCCTCACCCCGACCTCCATGTCCCCTACTTCTATCACTCTTCTGCCGGGCCGTAAAACCTCCTGAAGTCGGCTTCTCACATTGACATTCCAGGTGAGCGAAGGGTACCGTTTCAACCTCACGGTCATCTTCTTTCTGATGTCGTAGATTACGCTTCTCCCCATTTTCACCGATACAATGTCAAGGCCTTTCTTTGGTTTAAATCCTCTGCCCAGGAGGCTCTAGGTTATGTACTTGATGGTAGCAGTTGGTTTGGTTTGTTTAACTTAACCGTCTCATGGCCAACTTTTAGCCAGAAGATGGAGTGCAAGAGCCAAAGACAGGAAATCTTGGGCCATTTATGGCTTTCATATTTTTTTCTCTGTATTGAAAAGCCTGGAATTGTATTCTTCAACTTAGCACTTAGAGCCTCAAGTTCAGCATCATAATATGTGTAAAGTTAGCCAAGCTGTTAGGAGTGGGCTACCCAAATAATGTGTTTGAACAAGCATAAGATTTAGATTTAATCACTTGTTGACAGCAGGTAGAAAGCATAAATCAATGACTGGTGTAAGAGAATGGTTTTTGGTTCTCTTCTAATGAGCAGTGTACAATTAGTAATGTTGGTGGTTTTGTCTACACGTCTATATGACAGATAGTCCCAAATCAGAAGGAACAGGGTTAATTCATTTTTATGTCATGGTTTGGACATAAAACAGATTGCCCAAATGTTAACAATCGGTGATTATGCTAAAGGGATATACTGACATTCTTTGGACTATTCTTATACAAGCCTTTCTTTTTCCACATTTGAAGTTCTCTGCAAGTAAAAAAGTAAAAACAAACACACCCCCCTCCAGATTTCCTACTTTATTTAGTGAATCAGATACAGCATGTTTTTAATCACTCGATTAAAAACTAGGGCACTTATATTGCCTTTAACCTACCTCTTAGAAAGAAAAGAAAACAAAAAACAAAAAACACTTGAATGCTGGAGTTTCCTGAAATCTATAGCCAATTGTGAAATTGAACACAATGGGTATCAATTAAGGGCGTCTGAAGATCTGATACATGTCGATGATCAGAATCCCAAGCTTTCATTATCCTAGGAATCTTAGACTCTCCAGTGAGTTGGAGACATGACAAATAGTGTCAAAATGCCTCCATCCAGAGGCAGTGCTCACTTCCAGTGCCACGTGAAAAGAAGAGACTATTCTTGGACTTCTCTGTTTGTCTTTTAGAAAAATCCTCTGGTTTAGTTAGCTCGTGGTCTACTCCCAACTCCGCCCCTATAATACCAGCCTATGTCAGAGTGCTCCGTTCCTTCGTTCCTTCCACCGGAAATCAGCAAGTGGAGGGAAATCAACAAGTGGAGGGAAATCAACAAGTGGAGGGCAGTGCTTCCTGCTGCAGGAGGCCAAATCTATTCCCACACTCAGACTTGAAAGTAAACCAAGCCCAGATCTTCAGCTTCTCCAAGAGCACCAAAACGGGACCCGCCATAATGAAAAAACCAGAAACAAGGGCTGTGCCTTGGAACCAATTACCCTTTTTTTTTTTTTTATTACTTGGAGTCTGGCTTAATCCTTCTCTTCCTATCAAGCAACATATGGATTATATTTTCTCAAAAATTAGGCAGAGTTTGGCAGCCTCATAAGATTCTGGAAATGTATGAATGAGTTCAAGAGGAATTTTTTTTTTTACTTATTCGTTTGTGGTTTTTTTTTTTGTTTCGTTTTATTTCTTAGCACCTATAATCCGTTCTCTAGCAAGAGGAGATTGAATATTCAAGTGCATGTGAAATAGGATGACAGAAGTTGGAAGTCCAATTGAAAGAGCTGAGTTGGCCTCTCCTGTGGTTTCCACACTCAATATCATGACCACTGCATTCGATCCAGTTGGCAAGACCTCTTCCAGTACAGTGAGAGATATGAGTTTTACTGCATTCTATAAATATGACCATTTATTTGGCCCAATGTATTCATATTCCCACTCGTTCAGTGCTCACTTACACTGTCCAATTTGCTTGACTCAGTCTATAAATGTAGTTTGCCTACATCTGAAACGTCGTCTGGATGGCTTTAGAGTGACTCCAGCAGACCAGACCAGGTCTCAGGGTCACCCCCAAGCCACAAGTCACACTCTCTCGCTCCTTTTCCTCCCACTCTCAGAAGTACTTAAATGCATCATATTCCAAAACTTTATTTGAATATTATTGGAATGAGAGAACAGATACTTTAATAAGGCGATTTTGTCTTGTTTTAAAATGTTTTATTTGCTTGAGAAAGTCAGGAAGTCGGATTGATACCAAAAGACCAGATATAAACTGTTTGCTGTTTTCTTTGCCGTAAGCTTAACTTTTTATATCGCAGAGTAGGAGTCAAGGAATACCAGTGAGGAACCTCAACGGTTTAACTAATCCTGGCCCTATTGGCAGAATTATCCTAAGATTCCCCTCGTCCCGAGGCTAGAGTTGATATGACTACGTTACTGCTTCTTCATTTACACTGCTTTAATATCTCTTTCTGCAATTTAGCTTCGCTTCCTCTAGTCTGTCTTCTCTGTGCCAGAGGCTAAGGGTCTCCCTAAAACAACCCTTCACATTGTTAAAAGTAGTTTTGAAGCAACTGCCCTCCTCCTATTTGCTTTAGGCCGAAGACTGTATCACCTTAAACCTTTCTATACTTTTCTGCTTTCCATTTTTTCTAATATTTCCTTCTGGACCTCATGTCTCCAAAGTGCATTGATCCACTTCCAGAAATAAAATAACTAGAAATATATGCACCTGAAAAAAATCAAGCCACTGTCCATCAAAAAGGAAATTGATAAAGAAATGAAGAATTCCAGTGATCTGTCTGTTTTCTCTAAGACAGCTCATCTCGTTTGTGTAACATTAGAAACCAATTCATTGAAAAGCAAAGCTGGGAAAGGAAAACTAACAATGTTTGTATTAAAATTAATTGGATGATATTCTACATTGGCTGGAAATTTTAATTGATTAGAAAATTTTAGAAAAGAGGATACGTTTAAACCTTTGTTGGCTTACTTAACGTACTTATCAGAAGAGACACTATAATGATATCAAAAAATTTAGCATATACCAGATGCTCAATAAATGGTAGTTGTTAGCTGATTGAGCTTCAGTCGTAGAGCTATTCAAGTATATTTTCAAACATAAAAAAATTAAAAGAAAATTATTTATTTAAACTAGTTCCAAGTATACAGTACATTGGTTAGACATCTACATAGTTCATAAAACAATCCTTCCAATTGCTCCCTCCTTCCCCTGGTCCTCCACCTAGCCATCATATTAAAAAATATTTTTTTAAAAAACCTTTTTTCGAATTAGGCAATGAAGGCTCGTCAGTTGGAGACGTTCCAAAAAGCTGTTACATTATGTAAGAACTTACAATATCAAGCAAGAAGTATCCCAAATACTGTAAGGCTGGAAAGTGGTCTGAAATATTTAAGTCGTAAGATGTTCCTGGGACGCTAACATTTTTAGAATATGGAACTCGTTAAACATTTTCCTGCTCATTTAAATGCTATACTTCTTGCTTAGTTCTTGCAATGGAGACGTTTTGAAGAAATGCAGATGCGAGGTGCTATCCAAGGACCTTTAAACAAATGCAAAGTTTAATTCAGTTGTTTCCTGAGAGACTGACTTCTTGCAAAAGCCAAAGAAAATCTCTTACTAATTCAAAAGTTACCAAAAATTAAATTAAAAGGTTGAAACCGTCAAACGGGGGAGGGCTTGATTTAGAAAAATTTAAGCGTTTGGACAGGGGTAATTATGATGATTGTGAGGCTTCGCTGTGAATTCTTTCATTCTGCTTCTGCTAAAATAAGCAGCAGTCTACAGTCATGCCACCCTGAACAAGCCCGATCCTGCGTGATCTCGGAAGTTAAGCAGGGTCAGGAGTGGTTAGTACTTGGATGGGAGACCACCTAGGAGGACCAAGTGCTGTAAGCATAAAAAATAAAAAATAAGAGATTGTAAGCTGACAAGGTCCTTGCAATCCGTGAGGTCAACCAAGGGTTGCTTCACCTAAAATAAACAAACAAACAAACAAATAAATTAATATCTTTTCACGTTTTTACTGGGAGACTGGTGAGGCAACTTTGATGAAAGAAATTCCTATTTCTATCAAATCTAAACACCCAGCATAAATGCGATTTTTTTTTCTATGACCTGGCCATAGAAAAACAATGATCTTAGCGGTGAGAAATCCTAAGCAACCTACGATCCAAAAGTGCTCCTGAATTATTTTAATACGAAACACGAAATTATATTCAAGGAACCTCGTTTCTTAGCTGGTTGTGAAACAATGTGATTTCATACTCCCCAGTATTAGACGTTTCTCTACCTTCTCTTGTTCTGCAGGGACCAGCCCACCCACAGAATATTTGCCCCATGTGCTTCTCGAGCTCATCCTCTGGTGACAATGAGGCTGGCGCAGTTTCCTTGTGCAGTTCTAGCTCTGAGTGGTGCCACCCCCTGTGCCGAGAACAGAAGCCTTGGTGTCACTGCTAGCACCTGGCAGAAGGCACTGGTGATGCTGTCGCCTAACCAGCTCCAGGTGCGGAGGCAAATTCAGGAGTGCCGATGGCATCACAAAGCGCTTCTCCTGCCACCGATGAGAGCTGCTGGCACCGAACCCTGTGGATGGCTTACATTTCGACGTCACCTGATGACATCCAGGGAACAGCGTGTCCGTTTCTTGCACGTTCTTTCATTTCAAATGTCTCTCACCTTAAGACTCAAATATAGGTTGGCAGGGGACAAAGCCATGGGAGGCTCTGACTGGCCATTCCCTTCCCTCTGAATCCACTGTCCAAGGACTTCTTCCCGGACATGGGGATTTTTACCCTAGTCTTACCTGACATTTTATACCTGAGCTTCTATAGTCAAAATGGCGATATCGAAGTAAGTTTCACTGATTTCAAATTTCTTGAAATTAACACTTCAATTCAATGTTGAGTATTTTTGTGCCTGGCATAGAGCATGGGCTCAGTGAATATTTACAGACTGGGTAAACTGAGTCTACTCTAAGTGCAACTGAGACGTTGAGTGGGGACTCTAAGATGAGCAAGATTTGATTTCTGCCTTCAAGGAGTTATCCTCTATGAGGGAAGACAAAAGGAATCATGATCCCAGTTACATCAGTAGAGATGTGGATAAAATGTTCTGGGGGAAAATTAAACATGTCTATGTCTGAGATTCAACTCGTTGCAGCCAGACTCCCTTGTCTCACCGCTTAGAATCAACACGCATTTACTGATCCTCTTCTAGATGGGTAGCTAATATTTTCAAAACTGTTCTTAGCACATACTCCTGTCACTTCAAGTCATCTCTCTATGGTCCGCAGGTAAAACTATGACCCCAGCTGCCTTGAATTTTGGGATGACCTCGCGGTTGCCTTATGGTGTTCCTGATGTTATTGTGTCAGAGTAAGTGGGGACAGGGAGGGAGATCAGTCAGCCTGGGCTGCCGTAACAAAATATCCCAGACTCGTGGCTTCAAGAACAGACATTTATTCATCACAGTTATGGAGACCGGAAGTTTAAAATCGAGGAGCAAGCAGGTTTTGTTTCTCCTGAGGGCTCTCTCCTTGGCTTGCCGAGGGCCACCTTCTCCCTGTGTCCTCGTGTGATTTTTTTCTCTGTGCGAGAACCCCTGGTGTCCTTCCTTCTTCTTAGAAGGGCACCAGCCCTATAGGTCAAAGGCCCCACTCTATGACCCAAAGGTCCTATCCCCAAGTTCGGTAACATTGAGATTAAAGCTTCAACCTGTGAATTTTTGGGGATGACCTAGTTAAGTTCGTTAACTGGTTATCAGTACCATTTATCATTAAGAAAATAGCGCCTCGAAACGGATGAATCTGCTTCATAACCTTCGTGCGACATCATGGGCATAGCTGTGGCCTTTTTTTAAAAAAAAATGTTTTTGTTCTGAATTCTTTTTTATTGTGGTAAGATACACAGAACATAAAATAAGTGACATTTAGTACATTTACAATGTTGTGCAACTCTCACCGTTTTCTAGTTCCAGAATATTTCATTCCCAAAGGAAACCTCATGCTCACCAAGAAGTCACTTCCCCTTCTCCCCTTCCCTCAGCCCCAGGCAATTTATTCATCTACTCTCTGTCTCTGTGGATTTGCCTGTTCTGGACGTTTCATATAAATAGGATCATACACTATTTGCCTTTTATACCTGGCTTCTTTCACTTAGCACAATGTTTTCAAGGTTCATCCATATTGGGGCATGTATCAGTACTTCATTGCTTTTTATGGCCAAATAATACTCTAATTGTATGGCTATGCCACATTTTATTTATCTGTTCATCAGTTGATGGACGCTGAGTTTCCACATTTGGGCTTTTATGAATAGTGCTGCTGAGAACATTTGTGTACACATTTTTATATAGACAAGTTGTCAGCTCTTTGGGGTTATGTAATTGGGAGCGGAATTGCAGGGTCATGTAGTTATTCCATGTCTAAACTGTTTTGCACAGTATTTGCATCATTTTATATTCCCACTAGCATTGTGTAAGGTTCTAGCTTCTTTACATCTTCTCCAATACTTGTTATTTTCTGATGATTACTGTTATTATTGCCATCCCAGCAGGTGTGAAATGGTATCTCATTGTGATTTTGATTTGCATTTCCCCGATGACTAATGATGTTGAGTATCTTTACATGTGCTTGTTGGTTGTTCTGTATCTTTGGAGAAATGTCTGTTCAAGTCTTTTGCCTGTTTTTTAATGGGGTCATTTTGTCTTTTTGTTGTAGAGCTGCATGAGTGCTCTGGATACTAGACTCTTATCAAATATATGATTTGCAAACATTCATTGTAGGCTTTTTGATGTTATGTTAATTTTGTTTATGCCGCCCTTTTAGATACTCGGGCATTACTGGAAGAAGTCCTGAGTGGGTTTTAACTATATCTCCAAAAAGAAAATATAACAATAATAAACATCAACGTCAACATAAAAACGGTTCAGTAAATTTTGGGGTTAGGGGTGAGGACAGGGGAGGGAGAGAAGTATGTCAGATGTTTAAAGTTAATGATAGGTGAGAAGAAAAGAATTTAAAATGTGGAAATTACTTTTCTGAAAGTCAGTATATTAATTACAAGGAAAAATAGGAGGATGAAAGAAGAAACATTGACAAGCAACAAGAAAGATTTTTTTTCAAAATTTTATGACCATTTTTATTTTCAGATGAGGTTAAGTAATCACAAGACAAAACTGGAAAAAAATGTAAATTAACATAAACACTTTAACTTAAAAGAACTTCTGGTAAACCAAATACGGATTTTCAATACTACTTCTATTTATAAAAGAGGAGGGAAAAAAATGAATGAACCCAGTGAAAGCCATTCTTCCTAAACAGACTGCTGACTGGTGTACAGATGCTAAGAACCTTCTGTTCTTGCTAAAACTCACAGAAAAACACTGTAGATCTTGCAGCTTTTAGAACTGCCAGCCAAATGAAATATGATTTTCTCCATATGATTTGTATCAACGCCAGTTAGCAAAGTTATAAGCACTCATTTCTTTCATGACATAATTTTCTACTTGTACTATTGAAGATATGTCTGAAGTTTGTTTTTAAGTCAATTGTATTTTATATGTGTGTATATGTATACACACACACACATACATACACACACTGACTGAAAGGTGAAATAATCTCAAAATATACTTGTGTAGTTCATGTCTCCAGAATTCAACTTTTTTAATGGAATTTTTGTATAGAATTCTTTCATATGTGTTTAAATATATTTTGGCAGTCAGCCTGACATTTAGTTTTGATTATAATAAATTATTACTACTACCTATGTGTTATGATTACTAGTTACAGTTTCTCAGAAGAGACTAGTGAGACGGTTGAGGCTGTCTCTTAAGGACAGTGAGAAAAATTTAAAAAATTTCTTCTATAAGGAATAAGACCATCTTAATGGTACCTTCCACAGAGAAGCTCAGTAAGTATTTGACGACTTATTTTATACAGTTTCGATACAACATACTATAGACACCAAGAAAAGGCAAAATCAATCACAGGGAGGAAAAGCGTGATATAAATGGTCCCTGAGCATCGAAGACAATCCACCACCACATAAAGTAACCATGAAACAGGCTTCTCCTTAACTCCTAAGGAAAAAAGGAACAGGAAAATGTTTAAAAGAGTGAATGTGCTCAGAGCTCCACACTTCCAAGTTTACCAGTTGTAGACTGAAGCGTGAACGATATGGGAAAAACGTATTGTGTGTAAACTGTGGCACTACCAGGTCACTAAATCAATTCCAACATGAAAACGTTCAACATTTCTTTCTTCATAAATAAAGTCTGCCAAATCGTGGGTGTTCTGGAGACGAGAATAAATGAATAGCGGAAGGAGGGTATGGCATAGGAACTGTCTGAAGAAATAGATGATTCTCTTGCATTTTTTCCCTTTGGGGGGGAAAAAATGAAGTATTAACTCTCTGAATACCAGCCAGATCAAATTATGGAGCCACAGGAAAATGACGATACTCACCGTCTGGTGACTGGCGTGGAGTCCACTGTTAACCCTGGGCTTACCGCAGTGGACAGTGTGGTGACTAAGCACGGTGGACTGGCTTTGAAGTTGGCTGACTGGGTGCAGTCCGGGCACACTGACACCTTCTATCTGCATGGATTGGGCAAGTTATTGAGAATAGCAATTATGTCTTCTCCATAGAGTTGCCGTGAGGATCAAATGAGAGTGGGCATGTGCGTGGCACAGAGTAAGCCCCGAATGAATATTAGCTAATAGTATCTTCCAAGAAAGACATTTTGAAAACCTAGTCTTCACTCAGCTTCATCTGGTCTAATTTTAGGTGCCGCTCCTCTGATTTTTCCGACATCCCTCCCCTCCCTATTCCCAGGTTATGTTCTTAAACTGACCTTGTGATTCACCCATCATAGCTGTTCTCACACTTGTATTATCTTTGCCTATTTGATTCGTTGTCTTTCTATCTAATTTCCGTTTTGCTCCAGAGACTTTAAGCTCTGTTTGTAGGAAATGGCCATGATGTCTAGCTTCTTGGGGATTCCTCAGTACCCAATACAGAGCAGAGGAAACCATAAGCCCTTAGCATGTATTTGCTGAATGAATAATTTGTATCTTTAACTTATTAGGTTAAGAAAAGTTGGTGGCTGTGGCATTTAAAATACGTAATTTCGTGCGTGCAGCTAAAAGTAACTTAAAATGCAATGAAGTAAAGTTCAACGTTTGGAGAGAGTTTTGGTGAACAGAATGTGTTTGTTGGGGGTGGAGGGCTTAGGGTAGGTTTTCCCCTTTGATTTGGTTTTGTTGGGGGCATGGAAGGGCAACGACGAGTGAGTCTGTGCACTTACAAAGCATACATGAGTGCTCAACGGTGGCTTGGACAGCAGTGTCTTTGCTGTGAGTAAAACTGCCTTGTGTTCTACAGTCGCAGTCTTGGGAGGGACCGTGGTGGTCACCGCGTCCTATGTTCCAGTTTAAAGATTCAGAAACCAAGGGCAGCAAAACGCAATGATTCTTTACGGGTAGGGCTGAGCCTGGATGTCAGGTCGGCCGACTTCCAGACCGTATCCGAAGGGTCACTCGTTCCTTTAAAAATAATCACTGCTGCTTTAATAGCATCAGCACCTGTTGCTTCAGCTTCCGCAAGAGAGAAGCTATTAATTTCTCCTTCATCAAAGCCGCATTTCTGGTCTGTCTGAACCGTGTTTTCTTCTAACTGCAGCTGTCTACACCACTAAGGCTAAATGTGGAACCCAGGCACCTTTCTGCTTGAATCCAATAAATCGCCACGCCTGAATACAGAAAGAAAAAAAAAGCGACACAAATCATGCAGACAGTGGCCAAATTTGCGATGTCTGTCTCGAACTCTCTTCATTCCACCTTGCAGAAGCCTGGAGCCCACCAGACGCAGCCTCAGGCGGCGAACCGTGCCACCAACATCCGAGTCCTTCCTTGGCTGGGCCTGTGACCAGCCGTGACCCGGACATCAGCTGCTGGAAGCTGAGATAGTTGAAGTCTGAGTGGCGATTTCACTGTCTGCGAAATGTAATTATAATCCACCTTGGGGCAGTTTTTAGAATCGAATCGAGTTTTGAATGCCAAAGATCTTCCATACGCAAGTTCAGTTTGCTTTTATTACCATTATTGTTGTTATTGCGTTGGCAAGGCCTAGATCGTCCAAGTTCTGCTTTCTCCGGCGCCGGTTCTGGTCCGCAGCCCACTGCCCGCGGCCACACCACTTCCCTCCACCCGAGCCGGGAGGCCAAGGGCTCAGGCGCCCCGGGGCGCCAGGGGGGGA